CCCGGGGGACCCCTCAGGCAACAGCAGGCACAGTTTTCGAAGGCGCGCACGAAAAGCAAAACTCTTCCGCTCCGCCACGCGTAAACGCCAACGTCCTCCGGGCGGCCACTTTCTCCCGCCCCGCCCCACCGCGCACCCTCACTCGCCAGAGACCGACCGCTCCCGCCACCGCCGATCTCCGCGAGCGATCTACGAGCGCGCGTACCTGCCCCGCGACTACTGACACTTGACGCCCGCCTCTATTTCACCCAACTCCGGGTGGGCGGGGCCCGCCGGCCTGACTGGCAGCGCCACGGCGAATCCCGAAGCCTCAAGGCCCACTGGGCCCGAGCAGCTAGCCTATAAGGAGAGAGAACTTCAGCCAGGGTCCCGCCTCCCTTCGGCCGACCGCACCCCTCTCGGGCCACGAGCTTCGCGCGCAGGGCGGCCGCGCAGTTTGTACACAACTTCTCTGACAGATTGGGCTGGCGGAGCCGGGGGCGGAGGAAAAGAGGAGCGGGTGGAATCTAGGAAGAGGGGGAATTAGGCTGGAGACGCGGAGGGAGATCTCTTCTTCAGACTGTTCTCTGCCAGGATTAGGGAGAAAAAGTACTGCACGTCTTAGGTGTTGTGCAAGGACCGAAACTCAAAAGCTGAAACCTAGGAGACAGCTAGGTGGGGAAGCTAAGGTTTTTAGAGACTTGTTTAATGAGTGTGTATTTTTAAATATACAAAATGTACTTTTCTTTAGCGGAAAACTAGGGGCGGTGTGATAAATTTAAAACAGCCCTTGTCTCTCTGGGTGTTTAGCAGTGAATGTATCCATTTAGCAAAGCAATTCTCAAGGTCCTTAATAAAAGATTTGATGGTCAGCATTTTTTCTTAAAGTCCTTGCATTTTTAGAAGTCCTGGGTTTTCTCCTTTTCGGGATTTAAATAACTAGAAGTTTTCGTACATATTTCTACCTTCAGGATCCCTGTGTGGAGAAAAGGGGGTTGGGCCATATGATTTTGAAGTGTTTGATATGCAAATCCTGTTGATTCTAGCCAAAGCATGGAATCTAATTTAAGCAGTAACGACGACGAGCTCAAATGTGTACTTAAATAGACATTACATCTTTGACTTATTTTTGCTAGCACTGTAGTTCAAAAACTGGAGTTTAATATTTACAAAACAGAAACAGCACTTTTACCTGATACCGTGGCACCTTTTCCTACAAAAAAACAACCAAAGAGGTTACAAACATTGGACACTCGGCAGCTCTGAACACTGGAATCCAAATTTGTAAGAAAAGTAATAGCCAAATCTATTACCGTCCATTTACTACGTTATTATAATGGGAGGGTGAATTTTTGCCAGCAATCACCAAAGGAAACCACTTCCCTTAATCCTTAATGTTCTCCGACGCGATTTTATCTGGCTTATTGGGAGGCTGAAACAATACACTGTAATAAAAAATGCCTGCAATATTACCATATATGTACATATATCAACAGCATGCTATACCACTAGACGATTTAACCTATATAATAAACCTACTTACTACTTCACAATAAAACAGGTTTTAAAAAGTTTCTGGTAAAGATGTTGACTCCAAAACCTCTATCAAAGGTATGGATCTCCTTATCAACTGGTAGATAAAAAAATTAACGTGGACATAAAGTATTACAGGGATTTATTTATTAGAAAAAAGAGTGTCATAAACTAGATTTTTCTTTCTCTTTTCCTGTTAATATGTGATTCATCTTTATAGCTGTGATCTCTGTTTTCAGAGAATGGTTGATGACTACTTTCATGTTACCAAAGTAGTATTCAGTATGTGTTTTTGCACCTTTTTATTCTAAGCAAACAATTCCAGGTTATTCACCTTCATCTTTGAAAAACTGCTCTGTTCTTCTGTAATACTAAACACCATCATATAATTAAGTAGCTTAGAAACAGATTATAGAATTGGTATGTGATCTAGTGTAACTTTTTTTTAAAAAAATTGAACTTTGAAGGATTTTTTCAGTTGGTTGTTTAATGCTGATAAGATGATCCAACCTGAATGTGATACAGGTAGTTCTTGATAGAACTTTTGTACTGTTTTCATTTTAAACTACATTTAACTTTGATTCAGTACCATCTGATGTCTTTTTAATTTGCTTTTAAGCCCATCTATACCCTTCCTTTGTCTTTCTTCTTTTCTTATCAGAACTTCAGGGGCCTGTTATTTTAACCTAAATTTTCACTGCAACAAAATCCATTCATTTTCCTGGAAATGTTTCCATAATTTCATGCCAGTTTTTAACATGCTTTCATTTACAAAAGCTTTCCTGTTGTGATGAAAAAAAAAAAATTCCTCACAAGTATTTGGTAAGTTTTTCATACTTTTTAAAAATTTCTCTTTTTTAATATTTCCACCTTTCTGAAAGAATACGGAAATGGACCTGCTATTGGGTCCACATAGCTAACACATTTACAACCTTAAAAGTCTAAATATATTCCTTTTTCGTTCAGACACAGTAGCATTTATTTAAATATCATTTCTGGCATAAAGATTTATGGAGTAAAGCTGCCACTTTTAAGTTAGGGTTTCTCTGAAATGCTCAGCTCTGCCATCTCACAGAAAATAACTAGCTTAGCACTGTACAATAGTACGGAAATTGGAAAGTAATCCTTTCTCTGAAACATTTGCTATGCGGTTCTGAACATATAAAGAACACGTTCAACCAAGTTTCCTTGCTGTGGCTCTAAACACAAATGCTACAGTTGCAAACCTGTTTCATCAACTTAGCAAACAGGGTTAAAACTTGAGAAATATTTTTCAGATGTTCCAGGTTCTACATTGGCGTGGATCCAGACAGTGTGAATGGACAGATCCTCAATTACTTTGAACTTTCTAGTTCTTTGCATTCCTTCCTGCTTAGTAGTGCTGTACCATTAGAGAAGATAGGAGAAAACAAAAAACAAATGTCAGGTTTCAGAAATCAATTAGTGGCCTGGCGATGATGTGTTAACTGAACTGTGCCAAATCAGGGGATTTTGAGGGAAAGAAATAAAAATGTTGAGTAGTCGAGTGAGGTAGGGTGGTTAAGTGTGGAAGCAGTGAGCATGCTTAAGTCCTTAGTCACTGGGCAACACAGATTTAGTCTTAGAATAAACCCTAAGTGTCACTATCTTTACGGGAATAAATACGCCTGAATGTGTGGGGGCTGAACAGGCATTCAGCGATGGGGGAGGCGGGTTTGAAGGAGGGAGTGGAAAAAAAATAAATAGCTTCTGAGTGATGAGATGAGGGAAATATGAAGCTATCACTAGGGCAATATTCACACAAAGACACGGCAGAAGAATGATCTACCTTCAGTAGTTTGTCAAAAACATCAGAGAGCGTGAAATGAAGGGATCTAGGGTATCACAGTCAACACACTTTTTTTTCCCACTTTGATTGGAAAATATGTTCGCAGAATATTCCATGTCTGTGAGATCAGAATCAAATTACCATTCTGTGATGTTGGGCCACAGAAAAAGCTCAAGGATAAGCAAAGTCATTTTTATAAGGTGGTAGGCTCTTCTCTAGGGTGAGATCGGATCATGAAAAGTGACTTTGGGATATTCATTGATGGTTCACTCCCTATTAGAACCTGTATCAGTGGAGATATAAAACGTAATTATTGCCCTCTAAAACATTTCACAACTTTGATCTTTCTATTTTTTTTCATTAGTGACAACTACTTGAAGCCATGCATCAAAAATAAGTCATTCTGGAAAAAAAAAAAAAAACACAATAAATAGAAGCGTCAGTTGAGATTACTCAGAGTTCAAACCATTTTGGCTCAAAAGATTGATAGAAGAAAAGGAGTTTCTGGTCATTAGTAAAAAAAAAAATGTAGCTTAAATAGGACCATCTATTTCATTTTTAGATCCATTCAAATGCCTTATAAGAAAAAAAACCTAAATATCCTATTTTTGCACTGTCTCCTACCCCCAGTTCTTCATAAATTAAATTTTACATTTAAAGTGCAGTTTAAATGTGTTCTTCATGAAATATATCATAAGGTTTACATTATGTACTTATTCCTAAGAATACTGCGGTTTAGCTTAACTTTAAAACTGGTAATAACAAAAACAGTAGAGCTTTACCTTTTGTGGGGACTGGGACTGTTTTTCCATCTTGTTCCTATAATAAGCAAACAAAAATGACATAAAAATAAATGTCTAGAATCAGGTTATGGGTCAGGCATACCGTAGCTCCAATTCTACAGTATTTGAATTCTGACTCTAACCATGATATGGAAAGTTAAGAGTCCTGGTCTGAAGTGGCTACACCGAACAATCTTTTAGAACATTAGAGAGGGTACATCATCAGCATCATAATGAGCCTATGGCTGTTCTGGTTATGACCAAAGCAGTAGTGACACTCGCCTGGGGGCACGGGCAATAAAGGTGCAGATGAGACGCGATAGGTCTCAAGGAGATAGGAGGAGACTTGAAAAAGTTTGTGGAAAAATAGAATGAGAGTAAGAGTTTATTTAGGTGCAAACAAGAAATGGCAATCAATGTGTCGTTTCATAATATGCATTTGTCATGAGCTTTCTGAAGGCCCTCTAGTACCCTTTTAGATGTTGATCTATACCAGAAATCTGTAAAAAATAGAGCTAAGACCAATGCCAGTTCTTCATGTTCTAATTTCCATATGGTGTTGATGATGGTGTAAACTTGCCGAGTTGGAGAGGGTTCTTTGACAAGTATGAAGAAGATGGAATGTAAATAAATGTAAAAAATAAAATGTAAAAAATATAAATGTAAAAAAAGATACCTCCTCTTCTATAATACATACACACACACACACACACATATATATAACATAAATATAAATTCATAAATTAAAAAAATTGGAAATGACCTAAGTGGCCAACAGAGGGGGAGTAGTTAAACAAAGCATGCATATGATGGCTTCTGCAACCCAAAAATTTATTAGTAAGAAATATGTAGGATGGAAAAACAGTCATGACATGTGAAGTGAAAGGAAGAGGGTTTTTTATAAACACACACCCACGAGATAAGAAGAAAATACAAAATGTATGTATGTTGTGGCTGTCACTAGATGGCCAACTTATTCTCCTCTCAAGATTTTGGGCACACACGCACTTGTCCCCAGCATGAGTTTTAAGTCACCGGGTCTGGGATTTGAACCACAGTTGACTACATGGGAGTACAGGGACATAACCATTATACCATCTGCTGGTCCCTGGCCAAATTATTTAGTGCCTTACATTTTTTATTATTTTCTAAATTTTCTACCATTACTTTGTATCCATTTATAATAACAGTATGCTTACTTAAAACATAAATATTTATTACAGCTATAAATAAATAAATATTTATATATGATATATTATATGACATTATATATTATACATACATATTATATAGTATACATATTATATAAATATTTATTTATGCTTCATTACAGCTAAAAGTTAATTGGAGTTATAGATGATGAACAAATGATTTTTCATTTGAAGCCAGAAAGTATAACTACAATTTACCAACACTCTGTGCTAGGAGAACACGTAAACTTTCCTAACCAAGCTGCTAAATTTTCAGGATTCACTGTGGAATGAAGGAGCTGAAGAGAAATTGAAAGGAGAGTTTGAAACTAGAAAGGGATAATCTGAGGGATATTTTAAATACAAATAAGCTTTAATTAATTTACTAATTGGGCGATAAGATTCCTTCTACAGTGATTTTTACTCAGTTATTTGGTAGTTCCTTTTCCTTTGTTGCTTTATTGTCTCATATTAAATAAACAAGGGGGTCAGCTGATGGTGTGGTGGTTAAGACCACTAGATCCCACATGGCTCACTGCATGGTTCAAGTACTGGACCCGATGACTTGAAAGACATCGGGATCATGTGTGTGTGCGAGTGTGCATGCCCAAAAAACTGAGAAGAGACTAGAAGAGAAGGGATTGCACACACACTCGATAGCCAAAAAAGAGAAAAGTTTGATAGAAAGTCATCTAAAGATGTATAAGAAATAATAGAGTTAGAAAAATCAACATTTTGTAACCATTAAAATATTAATTTATTCAGACAAGAATCAACAGAAGCTAAAACAATTGGATGAAGTTCTGAAGAGGAATAGCCTAAGTAATCTCAAAGTATTTCCCCACAACGGAGATACTGTGGAGAATGATACCTTAACAATGGAAAAGCCTGGCAGGTGGTACCTTAAACAACTGATCGAAATTAACATCATCAGTAATAGGACAGACTAACATTGTGGGCTTCCCAAGTGAACTGAGAAGGATGCAACATTATTTATGTTGTATTCCAACCAAAAATGCAGAACCTGTCTCTAATCATCCGGAAAGATCAGACAAATGCAAATTGAGGAACATTCCGTAAACAAGTGCCCTGCATTCTTCAAAAAGGTAAATGTCACAAGACAAAGAAAAACTCAGGATCTGTTCCTTTCCAAAGGAATGGGTGATCTTAGTTTGATCTAGATTGGGGTGGGGGTGCAATGAACATTATTGGGGTAATTAGCACAATTTGAGTATGCCCTGTATGCTAGATAATACACCAATTATGTGTCTAAACTTGACAAAGTAACTGGTTATAAAGAGAATATCCTTTTAGTCCGGCAAAGGTGGTGCAGGTGGTAGCGTACTGATCTGCAGTGCTCCTGGAAGCCACATGGCCGACTGCAGATCTGAATCTTCAGTCAACCCGAAATATGTAATCATATGCACACCCCAGATCCTAAGTGGAGGGGTAGGGAAGAGTGAATATTGTTTTCAAAAGAAAATATCTTTGGTTGGCTCCATGTCTGGTGGTAAAGGGAGTCAGATCCCACACGGCTGATCACAGTTCGAATGTTGGCCCAGCAGCTTGAAAAACATGACAGGCAATGTGCGTGCATGCCCCAAATCCAGATGGGACAAAAAAATGGGAGAAGAGGGGAACCAGCAGTTAGCGCAATGACTATGTCACTGGACTCCCACATAGTCGACCGCTGTTCGAGTCCTGGACCCGGTGGCTTAAACTCACGCCGGGCGCATGTGCATGCGTGCCCAAGATCCCAAGAGGAGAATGGAAGAGAAGGGATTGTGGCGTGGCCACCCCCCCTGGGGGTGATTTCCTGCTTTCTATCTCTCTGTCTCTGTCTGTCTGTCTGGCAAGCACACGTGCCCTATAGCAAAAACATCTCCAAAAAAAAAATGGGAGAAGAGGAATTGAGGTGTGACCATGCCCCAATGGGGGGATGGTACCTTCTCCCTCTCCTTTTCTCTCTGTCTCTCTGGTGAATGCATGCACCTTCTGAGAGAATTACTACAACAACAGAAAAATGTCATATGTTCTAGTTGCAGGCCATTCTGTGTAGCATGATGAAATCTTGTACTGTCCTGCTCCATCCTGCCTGGTGCATGAATCATCCCTTTGTCCATCCTATCCACGCTGTGTACGCTACTTGCCCCTTCGTCACTAAGTAGCTGTCTCAGTTATCAGATTGAAAAAAAAACATAATTTACATAGAGTTCACCGTTTCCAGCATCCACTGGGGTTCTTCCATGGATAAGGATGAAGGACTGTATCTATCGTGACAGAGACAGACGCAGAAACAAAGAGACAGAGAAGCAGATGAGGCAAAATGTTAGTGATCAGTGAATCAGGAAGAAAAGTGGATAGGAATCCTTTATATTATTCTTGTAATGTTTTCCATAAGTTTTAAACAGTTCTGAAACAAAAAGGAAGAAAACAATTAAAAATTGTTGTTTTAATGTAGTCTTGTAGGTTTTGCCTCTCCATTTATCTATCTATTTATTTATTTATTTATTTTTAAAGATTTTCCTATAGGACATGTGTTCTTCCTGGAGAGACAGAGAGAGTCAGAGAGACAGAAAGTGAGGAATCAGAAATCTCCCCCCTGGAGGATGGCCATGCTGCAATCCCTTCTCCTCCATTCTCTTCTTAGGATTTTGGGCATACACACACATACCTTGTGTGTTTCAAGCTACCAGGTCTGGGATTTGAACCATTGTCAGTCATGTGGGAGTCCAACACTTTAACCACACGCCACCTGCTGGCCCCATCTCTTTCTTCTATTTATAATTGCTAGAGGGTATGTGAACTTGCTAGCGAGAGATGTAGAGACAGACAGAGGGAGAAAGACCCCTCAATGGGCCTTGCTCATGCTGCAATCCCTTCATTTCTCTAACCTGCTGGGATTTGGGGCATGCAAACATGCCTGCTGGGCTTTTTTTTTTTTTTTTTGGGTACGGTTTTTGTCTGGGGCGGGG